GGGTACCAGACAAGGATGCCCTTTGTCACCACTCTTATTCTGTATAGTATTGGAACTCCTAGCTAGAGAAATATGGCAAGAAAGGAAAATAATGGGCACCAAAATGGTAAGTAAGAAGTAAAACCACCCCTATTCACAGATAACATGATTCTATACATAGAAAATCCCAGAGATCACAAGAAAGTTACTGGAACTAATAGATTAAGCAAGGTGGCAGGGTACCAGGTCAATATACAAAAACCAGTCATATTCCTCTCACTAACAAAGAGAACTCTGAAAAGGAAATCGGGAAAGCAATACCATTTGTAATAGTCTCCAAAATGATAAAATACTTCGGAATAAATCTAACTAGGAATGTAAAAGATTTATACAAAGAAAACTGCAAAACACTACTGCAATAAACCAGAAGAGACCTACATAAATAGAAAAAGAAAATATGCTCATAGATTGGAAGACTTAATATTGTGAAATGTCAATACTACCCAAAGTGATCTATAGATATAATGCAAACCCAATCCAAATTCCAACAACATCCTTTAACAAAATGGAAAAACTAATCTCTAACTTTACATGGAAAGGAAAGAGGCCCTGGATAAACGAAGCAATATTGAAGAATAACAAAATAGGAGGCCTCACACTTCCAGATCTCAGAATCTACTATAGAGCCATGGTAGTCAAACCAGCCTGATACTGGTACAACAACAGACTCGTAGACCAATGGAACAGAATTGAGAACCCAGAAGTAAATCTATCCACCTATAGATGGATGGACAAAGGGTTGAAGTCCATTCAATGGGGAAGAGATAGTCTCTTTAAAAAATGGTGCTGGCAAAACTGGATATCCATCTGCAGAAAAATGAAACAAGATCCATATTTCACACCATACTCAAAAACTAACTCAAAATGGATCAAAGACTTAAATGTAAAACCTAAAACTATAAAGTTCATGGAAGAAAACATAGGGACAAAGTTAGCGATCCTAATTTATGGCATAAATACACTATCAAACATAACTAAACATGCACAACCAGCAGAAAATAAATTAGATAACTGGGAACTCCTAAAAATAAAACACTTATTAAAAGAGAGCTATGGTGGCACAGTGGTTAAAAGTGCTCAGATGCTAAGCAGAAGGTCAGAGATTCAAACTCACCAGCTGTTCTTCAGGAAAAAGATGTGCCCATCTACTTCCGTAAAGATTTATAGCCTTGGAAACCCTGTGGGGCAGTTCTCTGTTCTATAGGGTCACTATGAGTCGACATCAAGTCGATGGCAATGGGTTTCTTTTTTTGGTGTGTGTGTGTGTGTGTTTTTTTTGTCATCAAAAGACTTCTCCAAAAGAGTAAAAGGAGAACCTACAGGCTGGGAAAAAAATTTTGGCATTGACATATCTAACAAGCATCTAATCTCTAAAATGTATAGAAAACTGCAACACCTCAACAACAAAAAGACAAATAATCTAATTAAAAAATGGGAAAAGGACATAAACAGACACTTCACTGAAAAAGACATTCAGGTGACTAATAAACACATGAAGAGATGCTCGCGATCATTAGCCATTAGAGAAATGCTAATCAAAACTACACAGAGATACCATCTCATTCAAGTAATAATGGCACTGATCAAAAAAAAGAAAACAACAAAACTGGCAAGCTTGTGGAGAGACTGGAACTCTTATACACTGCTGGCGAGAATGTAAAATGGTACAACCACTATGGAAAATGGTTTGGCATTTCCTTAAAAAGCTAGAAATAGAAATACTATAAACTCCATCAATCCCACTTCTAGGTATGTATCCTAGAGAAATAAGAGCCAAGACACGAATAGACATATGCACACCCATGTTTATTGTAGCATTAGTCACCATAGCAAAAAGATGGAATCAACCAGTGTCTATCAAGGGATGAATAGGTAAACAAACTGTGGTACATATACATAATGGAATACTACACAGCAAGAAAGAGTACTAATGAATCCACGAAACATCTCACAACATGAATGAATCTGGAGGACATTATGCTGAGTAAAATAAGTCAATCACAAAAGGACAAATATTGTATGAGATCACTGTTATAAAAAGTCAAGAAAAGGTTTACACACAGAAACATTTTATGATGGTTAGTAGGGATGATAGAAAGAGGGAGGGAGAGTCGCTAACTAGATAGAAGACATGATAATTCTAGTGAAGGGAAAGACAATACACAATATGAGGGAAATCAGCCAACATGAACAAGGCAAACAAAGACACTGAGAGGCAAGCAAAAATAAAGAGCAACTGTGGTAAATGCTATAGCATACACAATTCTGCAACAACAGTAATAACAAACAATACTTTGTGAGTGGATACATCAATAAATATGTATGCTAAATAGGTGTAGGAGGTTGTACAGGAGTACACCAAGTGCATATATAGGTACGGTTGTGGATATTTCTATATACATATTTGTATGTGCTGCGTGTACATTCATATATATAATACAGAGAACATAGGGGGCACAATTATGGAAACTTCTTAGACATAACCAAATACCTCTTGGGACTGAGTTATTGGGCCTGAGAGGTAAGGGCCATAGTCTTGGGGGACATCCAGGTCAATTGGCATAACGTAGTTCATAAAGATAATGTTCTATATTCTACTTTTGTGAGTGGCATCTGGGGTCTTAAAAGGTCACGAGCGGCCATCTAAGATACTTCTATTTGTCATCCCCCATCCAGAACAAAGGAGAGTGAAGAAAACCGAAGACTCAAGGAGGCAATTAGTCCAATGAACTAATGGCCCACATGAACCACAACCTCCTCCAGCCTGAGACCAGAAGAACTAGATGGTGCCCAGATACCATTACTGACTGTTCTGACCAGTAACACAGTAGTAGGTCCCAGTTAGAGTGGGAGAAAAATGCAGAAATTCAAATTCATAAAAAAGACCAGACTTAATGGTCTGATAGAGAATGGAGGAACCTCCGAAACTATAGCCCTAGGACACCCTTCTAACTTGGAACTGAAACCACTCCCGGAGATTACCTTTCAGCCAAATAATAGACGGGACTATAAAATAAATAATAACACCAGTGAGGAATGTGCTGCTTAGAACAATCAACTATACGAGACCAAATGGGCAACATTTGCCCAAAACCAAAAATGAGAAGGCAAGAAGGGACAGGAAAACCAGACGAATGGAAACAGGGAATCCAGGGTGGAAATGACACATTGTGGGGATTGCAACCATTGTCATGGAAAAATCTGTGTATGAGTTATTGAATGGGAAACTAATTTGCTGTGTAAACTTTTATCTAAAACACAATAAACTGTTCAAAACAAACAAACAAAAAAAGAACTATGCTTCTCCCATTCTTTGACTTATGGTTTCCCACAAAGTTACCGATATTCTAAAATAAGGCAGGTAGAACTTAGAGTGGTTTTTGAGGAACTGCCATAGAATAAATTCTGCTTCCCTCTGGCACCAAGAAATTAAGAGAGAAATGCAGTACAAGGCACCAGCTTTTTTTGGGACATAGAACCACTTCTGAGTGGTTCAAGACATAATAAATTTTATTTAATTCTTTATGTATTACAGAGAAACAAAAGCCTTCAAGGATGTGCTGAGAAGTCATAGTAACATAGGTCCTCTCTTCTTGGAGTGTGTGTCTTTTTCTTTTCTTCTGCCATCCTTACTTCTGTAAGCAGCAATGAGTTGCAGGTCTCATGCAGTAAGCAATTCTAACTTCATTCTCATGGCACTCAAGTTTACATTGACCATTACCCCTTATGCACTCTCTCCTTAAATCCATGCTACCATAGTGGGGATATTTCTTTTTGGCTGTAAGAAGGAAAGAATGGCTAGAATTAGCAATCTAGCTATAACATGCACAGATTTTAAAAGGAGAAAGCTCAAGAAGAGAAAGTTAATAGAGTGCGCTGAAAGAAAAAGTCCCCTTCCTAATTCATGATTGTGAACATCTTTGTTTACTGGAAGAAGCTTAAGTGAATTTACTGTTCCTTGGTAAATTTAATGTCCTTGGAAATCAGAAAGTACCTTGGACTTTAGTTAGGGTATCATCTTGCTTTCTTACAAGTTACTGTACAATGGTTCAAGGATGAGTCCCAAAGTCAACTAAGAGCTACATTATCCTTGTTGTTGGCCTAGGTAACTGATATAAAACGTTGCTTTTCTATTAATATTGGCTTTCTTCTCAGTATAACTGAAGTGATGTGGAATGTGACACAACTTAAAGACTCAAAAACACAGAAGAAAAATATTACCTTGCACCAGTTAAATGTTAACTTTTAAATATTATTACCTATTCAATAATATCTGGGGAGTTAACATTATCAAACTCATTTGTGACTCTCCAGTGACAGAAACTTGGGTTAAACTCACTCTAGCCGAGAGCTCTGTCACATTTGACACTGTCATCCAACATTCCCCCTTGCCCTGATTTCATGCTGTCTTATTCTTTCTTAGTCTTATTTCACCTCTCTAAAATATTTTTGTTTTCTTTCTTCTCTTTCTGACCTCTAAATGTCTGTGTTTCCCAAGCCTTGTCTTTGGATCGCCAATATTCATCCTGGTACATATCCATCTACTCATTTAACTACCCGTACCTACCCATTGCCGTCGAGTCGATCCCGACTCATATGACACTATAGGACAGAGTAGAACTGCCCCATAGAATTTCCAAGGAGCGCCTGGTGGATTCGAAATGTTGACCTTTTGATTAGCAACTGTAGCTCTTAACCACTATGCCATCAGGGTTTCTACTCATTTAACTGGTACCTATTAAGTCTTCTGCTTGTCCAGCTCTATGTCAGGCCCTAGGACAGGGTTTCTCAAAAGCAGAGTCATTAGTATTTTGGGCCAGATAATTATTTTTTGTGGGGAGCTGTCCTGTGCATTGTAGGATAGTTAGCAGTATCCCTGGCCTCTGCCCACTAGATGCCAGTAGCACCAGCTGTGATGCTGAAAATGTCTCCAGACATTGTTTAATGTTCCCTGGGGAACAAAATGAACCCCACATTGAGAACCACTGCTCTAGCTACTTTGATAAGCCCAACACATGTTCTGGTTCCTGTCCTCAAGTAATACATTCAAATACTACCTCCTTTCTAAAGTCTCTGCTGACCACTCTCAGGAAAGTAATTCCTCCTTCCCTTGCTCTCTCATAACACTTCATACATATCACTCATTTATCCCTAACTTGCTAAGGAATTTCTCTAAATAATATACCAGGTCTTAATATCAAAGCTATAACTGGGCAAAATGTTTCTTAAAATAAATCTTTAAGTCTGCAATTTCATTTTATTTGTAATCATCTGTTACTTTATCTTTTAGGCTGCCCTTACACCACCTTGGACTCAGGGGGAGAAATCATGATTACTCTTCCAGCAGAAAACTACACTATCCAAAGTACATGTCAAATTTAAAGAAAAGTGATTATTGGCGATACTTCATTTTTCCATATGGCAGATGAAGTGAAAGGAAAGGAAAGATGATGCAGTAACCCATTTATAGACATCCTTGGCATTTATGACTTCTAGAAAATGAAGAAAGCAAAGTTACTTCAATGCAAATTTCCCTACGTGGAAAGGTTAAGGACTCTTATCCAGACATTTTTCATACATAATTGTCTAAGTGAAAGAAGAGTAATTTTTCTACCTCCATTTAGAGTAGGGAATTTCATCCTCTAAAATACTGAAGGTGAGATATAAGAACAAGGGAGGAATTGGAAAAGAGTCAGCTATGTGGTATTTATGTTTTATTCAGTTTAGCTCAACCACCAGGTGTTAGTGATCTATAAAGTGAAGCACACCGTTCTAATTGCATTAATTTTTTTAAAATTATTTATTCTGTATCATACCTCTTCTAATTTTCTAGGGAAAATATATATCGTGACATGTTTCTTTTATTTTGGTATTTAAAAACTTTTTTTTTTTGACAGTAATGGTAGGAGTTCTCTAAAGGTTTGGTCCATGTTTAACCAAATAATAATAATAATAATGGCTCATTTTGAAAATATAAGAAAATATATACATAAGGAAAAAACAATGATAGCATTATCTTTATTTTATGTCTCTGTATCCCCCAAGTGGCTTAATATTTTTATGTCTACAGGGTACATGCTTTTTTAAGTTTTTTGAATGAATGCATGAAAGACTTTAGATATTAGTAGGAGCACCTGGCTGTTACAAGGAAAAAGTAAGTTAATGGGAAAAAAAGCACTTAGCATAGTGATCTATAAACATGGGTTGTTGTTGAAAAATAAAGCTACTTACTATATGTTAGAAGCTACATGAATCTGTATACAGTTTCTTTTTGGCACTTTCTAGAGCTGGGAAAAAATCTAAAGATCCTTTTCTAACAATTTTTCAGTGGAGAGGAAGGAAGTTATTCTCTTAGTTAAATTAATTGCATTACTCTGTCATTTAATTGAGGTTTGGCCTCTAAATAGGATTTTATCTACTTGCATCCTTTACATGAAAATTTAACACTTTATAATGCATGGATTTTTAGAGGGTTATAATTGGATTCTGTAATATCTGAAATGAGAGAATAAGCTAATTTAATTGTCTTAGGCCTTTACCATGATTTCTTTTGGGCCTATATTTTTATATCCAGGAAAAATTAGCCAGGTGCTGAAAAGGAGAATTGTCAAGACTTCAGTCCCACTATAATAAACTGGGTAGACTTGAGCTAGTCATTTCACCTCAAGCTCTTTAAGAATAAGTGACTGAACACAGTAGTCTCTCCATCTCTGAAACTTATTATTCTAATTCTGTACAATTGCTACTTACCCCTTAATTCAGGATAAGAGAATCTTGTTACATATCTGATGTGAAGGCCGGAAAAATCTCACCAAAAAATATAGTTTATGTACAAGGTTCATTATTCACGAAATCTGTGGCACTCAAAGAAAGAAGGATAGTGACCAGACATACTTAAATAAAGACCATCAATGGACATGATTTGCCTGCAATACTGAGAACAGGATACTACTGAAGTTATGGGAAGTAGTCCACTGCATAGGCAAAAGAGAAGGAAAAGGTAAAGAGATCTCTCTCTAAAACAGAGCCATCTATCCCATACCAGCTGATGGTGTAAATTTTTTCTTATTTTTCCTAGCAAGATATAACATGCAGCAAGAACAGACTATAAATAATTGTTCTGGGAAGAAGGTGGTGGGACTATTTAACAAGTCCTGGTGGTGCAGTGGTTAAGTGCGTGGCTGCTAACCAAAAGATCAGCAGTTCAAACCCACCAGAAGCTCCGAGGAAGAAAGATGTGGCAGTCTGCTTCTGTAAAGATTACAGCTTTGGAAACCCTGTGGGGCAGTTCTGATCAGTCCTAAAGAGTTGCTATGAGTCAGAGTCGAGTTGAGGACAATGGGTTTATGATCTTTTTAAAAGTTGTTTATTTTGAAATAATTATAGCTTTACAGAAGAGTTGCAAACATAATAGAATTCCACATACCCTTCACCCACCTTCCTCTAATGTTAATATCTCACATAACCATGGTACATTTACCAAAATTAATAAATTAACATTGGTGCAATACTATTAACTAAACTACAAACTTTATTGGCATCTCACTTTTGTCCTTTTTCTGTTCTAGGGTCCAATCCAGAATACTACATTGCATTTAGTGTCATGATCTTTAAATCCCTACATTATTATCATACTTTTACTAAGAAATACCTGACCTCTCTTCAGATTCAGTTGTATAAATATCCCATAAATATTTTCTTGTTACCTGGTAAAATTGTGACCTCAAAGAAGAGTAGAATAAGTAAAAAGAGATGAATCTTCATAGTAGAGAGTGTCTTAGGGAAAAAGTGTCAACAGATCTTCCTTCCCAAGTCAAGAGTTTTGAAATAAGGAAACAGAGAACTCTTTATTTATACATTCTCCCGGGAAGTGGTTTTAACTACTGAGGCTTATCAAAAGTAAGAACATTTCTATGCTTCGTTGAATAGTGCCATGTTTCAAAGAGGTGATGGTCACAAAGAGATTGTTAAATTCTTTTCATAAAAGTAAAATCTGCTTGTGTTACCTTAAATAGACTCTTATGAAGACTTGATCTTTAAGGGACTTC